AATTAGTTGAGAATTTGATTAATCAATACCTTGATATACAAAAGGGCTATAAGAGTTGCAGTTAGAACCTTATAATAGATTTAACAATACAACTATCCTTCCATCTGGAGACTACATTAATAATAAATTGCAAAGTAACTGGAGATAATCAGCAGGTTAAATGCAGGTTTATATCAAGAAATAGGAGTTCTCATTATTTCATGAGTGTCTTTAATAGCTGTAAGACAGGATAAAACTACAATTGTGGTGCTTTCTATCATCAAACATTCTGGAACTGTTCATTTTTTTCTGCACTTGCATCTGATATAGAATTTTAAAGGGAAAACAGAAGTAAACAAGATGTGGCTCCTTTTCTGATTTATTTGCAGTGGAATAACTCATGAAGCTTGGATGTTGTGTGAAAAAACATGAGAGAAACGCCGTTAGGAAGAGTGGAATCTTTTTGTCTTGTCCTTCGCTGCTCACATGAAGCCTGTTATTATTGTTTGTCATTCCAGTGTTTTTCCGTATCAAATTATAACCAGAAAAACATGACGAGCAGACGCCTTGGCACTCCACCTACTCACCCAGATCTCCTGTCCAGCAGAAGAGGAGTTGTTAGAGCTGCTTTCCACAAAAATGAGATGCGTAGCTGTGAGGTACAGTGTCCCGTTTGTGGATTTGTTGCTAAAACGATCCACCAGCCGCACCTGCTCCACCTGCAAAGACAATACTAATGAGGGACTAATTGATGAGCCTTTAGCAGGACAGCTTGCTCCTTTGGCTGCATGTTGCATCAGCCCTAAAGATGAGCCATGGGAATGGCAACTGGGAAAACAAGAGATATTAAAGGAAGGTAGCATTTGGCACTGATTCTAGCAGGCCCATTATATAACAGTGACCATCTGGGTTTTTTGTTTGGCTCCTAGATTTTTTTGTAATAGAGTTAAAGGACTTAAAAACCTACTGTAGAGGGAAACTGTAACCAGAAACCATTCAATTTAATAGAAAGATTGCCCATTTGTTTTTATTTATAGAAAAATCCAAAAAGAAAAGAATGGATGTTATATATTGCATTACATATAAGCAACATTTTTAAAATACTGGTAAAGAAAGGTCTGTTTGCTGTTTGAACAAAAGTTAAAATGGTGTTTGTGATTCTTGGTCTTTTAACCGTTGCTGTTAAATTTCCAAAACACTGATAAACCACATTAATCCTGCAAGTGTTGACTCAGACATCCTCTTCCTTCCAGCTGCTAAGCTGCTGTTCACTGATAGGATGTCGTAACGGAGACTGACCCTCTCTCAGCGACCCGAGGGTCAGAGTTTTGTCATAAAACAGCCTATCAGAACATACAGGAATTCTGGGATGTATTCAGCAAAGGTATAGCCTGATAGAAAGAAAAAAAGAAGATAATTGCTGTCACTTGTTATTTATAAAAACAACGTTTTGAGGATACCGTAATAGAAAATGTTTAATGTTGATTTAACACAAAGTTTCTTAACAATTTGAGCTTTCGTCATAGCTTTTCTGGATCTACAAACACCTGAGAGAACAAGTCACACTTATGACACACCTTGTCTGCAGGTGACCCCACCCTCATAATAATCCCTCATAATAATCCAGGCACTTTTTATTCGCCACGTCTTCTATTCAGCCCTTAACTGGCTTCAAATGTAGAGAATAAAACTACCAAACTATAACCTTTACAATGAAATCTAAAATTGAATTAAAACAAATCGCTTCTTCCTTACCTTACATGTTAAACCGAAAAAAAGAAAAAAGAAGATTCCAGTTAATCAGATGGAGACTATTTCTTGGATTGGTTCTAATAGAAGACTTAATTTTCACAATCCTCACTCATATAAATATGGGAACAACAAAATGCACTTCCATGCACCTTATAAAATGAAAGATTAACCGAAAATGGTACTTATTTACGTTTGTGCCTCCTGGTATAAATGACTATTCTATTCTTCCCCTGTAATTATTAACTATAAACATGGGGGCGAAAGATTTGGATCCATAAAATGGAGTATTTTGCAACTCCTTCCGTGGCATTCAAATGTTCTACCTTTCTCATACAAACACCCTTATTTTGGCACTGTAGTGAATTTGAATAAAAATATAAAAATGGAACACTTGGTACTAAGAAGTGGAAGGTGTAAAAGTCTGATTGGTGCATATCTAGAAAAAGCTGCATGTAAAAAAAAACAAAAAAGGGAGTTTTTCCTCTCCACTGTCGCTACAAGAAAGCTTAGTGTGATGTATTGCCTTCGAGTCGATGAGTCGATGCAATCAACTGGTTTTCCTTAGAAAACTTTGAATTGTTTTGACTGCATGATCTGGTTGAATTGTCTCTGTAAAGTGCCTTGAGATGACATGTGTTGTGAATTGGTGCTATATAAATAAACTGACTTTCAATTCAATTTTAATCCAGTTTATTTATATGGCGCTAAACCAGTTGATCGCATCGACTCATTGTCTCGAAGGCAATCCCTCACACTAAGCATGCTTGTAGCGACAGTGGAGAGGAAAAACTCCCTTTTAACAGGAAGAAACCTCCAGCAGAACCAGGCTCAGTGTGAGCGGCCATCTGCCGAGGCCGACTGGGGTTCAAGGAGACAGAAGCAGAGATACAAAAACCAACTGTAAAAGGAGGCCCCGTCCAGGAAACATACAGCCAGGCAGATGAGTCAGAGGATGAAGAGAGCACAGTCACAGTCAGAGAAACAGGACTACACTGAAAAACAAGCCGATCTCCAACATCTATAAACAAAGGTCTTTCAACAATTTTTTTTTTTTTTGATGTGCAAAAACTAAGGAAAGTAAATCTTAGCTTTAGCTTCACCTACAGGTAATCAGATCCCTGCTGAACTGCCTGTCATAAAGGCCCATCTGACAGTCTGTCACTATCACACTCCAACCTCTATCTTCCTCTTGATCTCTATCTCATTAGATCCAGAGTGACTTCACAGATGGGCATTAGCTAAATCAATAACAAATCTCTGTAACACTGTAGAGTGGCTGTCTGATGATTTGCTATGCGGAAAGAAAACAAACAAGCAGGTAATTGATGCTCGTCCTGTCTGTCATCTGGAGCTGCTGAGCTACACCTGCTAGCATCACACTTTCAACAGCTGAAAGCAAACACTTTCCATTTAACATTGACCCAATGCTGAGTGTAGCGACATCCAGGCTCTGCAAACAAACCATAAAGGCAGGGCCTTGATAGCTGGCTCTATTCCCTCCAACTGAAAATAGCGAGAAATGTTAGCTACCTTGGGCGTTCGGATATGCTCCATTTCTTCGATAACAGACGTCTGTCAGCGACTGGAAGGGTTCACACGACGCCCCCTGTTGAGAAGTCTATCATTGATTATTAATGGCTTCTCTGGAGGAAATATCGCTTTTACTTATTCGGTGCACCCGATAGGAGTTTATTGTCAATTATTTCGCTCCTTCATCCGCATAAAGTTCCCTGACAAAACGCCATGACGTAGGATGTAAGCATTTCAAAATAAGAGCATTGCGTATTTCTGCGAATAAAGTGACCCATGGTATGACTCCTGTATGAAAAATATAATACTAAATTTGAATCATATGATGATATAGATTGCTACAAAAACTATACTAGATTGGTCCCCGAGAATGATTTTCTTTTTTTATCTTTACAATCTTCTTTAACAATGGTTTCACAAGTTTTTATTTACTAGATCGGAGGTTGGCAACCTGCTACACCAGAGCCACAAGTGACTCTTTGGCTTACTTAATAATATTATATAAAATATTAAATATCAAAATATCAAAAAGTGAACTATTGCCCCTAATGCTTTCTTTTATAATTTTTTTCTGCGCTCTTATTCTGCGTGAGTGTATTATGTGATAAATAAAACTAACTGCTTTAGTATTTTTACAAAGTATTGCATATTTAAATGAGTTAATATTCACATACTTAATAAAATATCTATAAAAATGTGTGGCATTCAATTTTTTTGTTGGATATAAATCAAAACTGCAAATATTCTCTGTCAACTGCTGAAATTACACCAGCTAAATCCTACCACTTTTTAAAGAGCAAAAAATACTATTACTCTTTTGGCAAAATCACTTGAGTTCTGCTGGTAAGCACAATTTCTGATGCTATGATGTTTTTGTTTAGAACTGCAAATATGGGACTTATGGAATAAATCAGTATGCTTAGTCAGGAAATATATATGAGCTGTTTTAAAATTCTAGCAAAAAGGAAACCTGACAGTTTCCTCACAATATTAAATCTAGATTTTAAAAACACTCTAAAGTTATTAAAGAATTTCCATGATCTATTAGGATACTTTTATTTTTAGAATGTATGCCTAAATATTATTTTGTTATATAATATTATTAATTCCATAATTCTCTTAAAATTTGTTTAATGTGAATTCTACCTCTGACAAGAAATTATCCAGTAATTAATAAGGAAAGCGTTCAGTGAAGAGGTTGCCCAAAGAGCTTCATATCTCCTGGATTCATAAATACATAGTTACATAAATTAAATTTTAAATCTTCAAAATTCTAACTTGTGGTTTAGTCGTTATTTGTTCCGGGCTTTAGAGGGACAGCTGCTTTGAAGTGATCCTTCTTATTGATTATACTGAATGTCTTGCCTTGGGGTCTCATATTTGTAATAAAACATTGGAAAATACCAATATTTTTACAAATTACAGGCAGCATAAACATCTGCGGTGACTTCCTTGACCAATTTACAATTTCCTTTTTACATTTTTTTAATTTGGCAGATATGACCATTTTTTAAATAAATATTGTATCAACATCTATTTGCCCAAGGATATTTTGAAGGCTGGCTGACCTATTTTAGTAAAGTTACACATTTTATTTTAACAATAACACCGGAATAAGATCTGTTATGGCCGCAAAAATAGGGCTTCGTGGCATTTAATGTTATTTTCTGTGCGTGTGCATTTTTTTTTACAGGAACTAGACTACCGTAGAGAACGATGGGTAATGTAGTTTTTTTAAATATACCCAGAATGCACTGCGTTTGGGAAATACCAGGCGGGCAATAGAAAAGAAAGTATCACCATGCTTAAAGTGAAATATTTAGAGCTTTTAAATGCTTAAAACGACACCTTAATGGAGTAAATTATCAGTTTTCAGCTGTGGTGTAGCTCCTGATACATTGGGAAGATAAAGAATTCTTTTGTAATGTTTTGAGCAAAGACTAAACTGCTTAATTTGCTTTCACGCGGACATGAAGGCTAACTGACAGTTGCTAACTGCTAACAGTCGGGCTCCGTACTTAGAGGCTATTGATGTAAATTGTTGGCCCCTTTTGAACACAATGTCTGGGTTTAACTTTGGCACTCTTGGCTCCAGCAACACTGGTGGAGGATTCTCATTCGGAGGAGTCACAAGGTAAAGCAGACATTTACTTAGCCGACTTAGCTAATGTTAGCATTGTTTAATTTTTATCCTGTTGAAACTGCGTTTACTTTTTTGAACTGCTATGTTTGCAGTGGAGGTGTGGTTGTCATGAGTCACGTTATTAGATGTTATTTTCTTATCATGTGTTATTTTTAGGTTTTAAGTAACTGTCATTTACTACATTAAATTGATGTCTGTAATAAAGGGTGAACATGGCAACTTGCAGAGTAAATGTTGCCATCAACTTCCTTGGTTTACGGTTTGAAATTGCTGTAATCTGTAGTCTGAAGCGTTTTAACCCTTTATAGGGCACTCCGTGAAATACTTTGAAAATCAAAATTTCAAGCTGTTATTGGAATCCAGGACAAGACCTTATTACCTTTGGAACATGAAAAAATATGGATATTTTGATGGGAAAAAATGAATGTCAATGGATAACAAGAAACTCAAATTTTCCCGAATACATAAGTTTTAATTAGGCTTTTTAATTTTTTACCTTTTCATTGAGCTTTTTACCTTTTTTTTTCTTGTCAACTTTTTTCAACTTATTTACAGTAGGTAATATATCATTAAAGGGCTCGTCTAATTGGCCAAATGTCAAATAAAATGTACATCCATGTAGCAGTATCTTTGCTGAATGGCTGGATATAGATCTTGTGTTTCTAGACCTCACTGAGGAACTCCATTTGTAAGGAGTATGCAAGTGATCAAAAATGCTACCTTGCCCTACAAAGGGTTAATACTGTCAATATGACAGATGTTGTTTCAGCATATTTTAGGGAAGAAGGTTATGGACTAAATCTACAACATTTATTTTTGCTTTTTAAGTACACCTGCGGCCAGCACTGGTGGCCTTTCTTTTGGGACTCCAGTGGGAGCAGCAGCAGGAACCCCGGCTTCCACTGCAAGTACCACCCAATCCCTTGGCCTGGGAGGTTCTCTCTTTGCTCAGAAACCTGCTGGGGGCTTCTCCTTCAACACCCCTGCCTCAAGTAAGCTTTATGTCAAATAATGACACAAATTTGTAGACATTGTTTTTTGAAGTAATCTGTTGTGTAATACATTAATCATGGGCTTGTCTTCATTAGCTTCCTCTGCACCCAGCACTGGTCTTACATTAGGTATGTTTTTTTTGTTTGTTTGTTTTGTTTTTTATTTAAATTTTTTTTTTCAGTTAATATACCTTAAACTACTTGTTTTAAACATTTAAATTAAGTTTGTATTCTCCTCTCTTCATATACATTTAAAAAAAAAATTCCCAGGTGCACCAGCTACTACATCTGCAACCACAGGTTTTAGTTTGGCCTTCAACAAACCCACTGCATCAGCAACACCTTTTTCTCTCACCACAACTACCTCCTCCTCAACTGCTGGGACAGGCTTAAATTTTGGCTCCAACCTGACATCCACGGCTCCGCAGCAGCCTGCAGCCACAGGGTTCACACTCAGCCTTGGTGGCACAGCTTCCTCTGCTGCATCAACTGCACCATCACTAGGCGCCAGTCTCTTCTCCAGCACTGGAACTACAGGTGTGCTAAAAAATAGAGATGTACTAAGAAGAGCTAGAAAAATGCTGTTATTGTTAGTTTAGACAGCATACTGATGGACATAAATCTTAATAAAGTGGTGTAAAGCAAAATGTTTAAAGTTTTTAATTTATATTGTGTCACAGGTTTGGGTCAGACCACGCTGGGAGGAGGAGCTGGGTTAACCTTGGGCTCGCTGTTGGCTACCTCCACAGCAGCTTCAGTTGCTCCTGCACCGAGTATTGGTCTGGGTGGAGTTGACTTCAGCACGTCCTCTGAGAATAAAAGTGACCCCTCATCTGGAACCAATGCACAGTATGTCCTGCTGAACTAATGCGCTTACTCAATGTTTAATATCATCTGTGCTTCATTGTAACACATTGCTTAATAATGGGAGGCAGTTTGATGGCATTTTTCACCTTAACAATCTTAATGAAAAAATTCTTCTCACTTTCAGGGACAGCAAGGCTTTAAAAGATGAGAATCTGCCCCCCTTTATTTGCCAAGATGTTGACAGTTTTCAGTAAGTAGTTGAAACATACATATACGGTACAATTTTGAGCCGGTTTATTTGTTATGTGCATAATTGATTTTGTAATCTACAAAATGGATTTCTAAATTTCAGCCATTTATCTGCTTTTACAGAAAATTTGTTAAAGAACAGAAACAGGTTCAAGAAGACATAAGCAGGATGTCTTCAAAGACTATTGCAAAAGTCCAAGATGACATCAAGAGTCTCAAACAGCTGCTTTCTGTCTGTGCAAGTGGGCTGCAGCGCCAGGCTCTGGCTATTGACAAGTTGAAGTTGGAGACCGCACAGGTGAAAACAGAATTTAAAGACAAAAAAGCTTAGATACAGCATTTCAAAGAGTTAATGTTTATTTTTGAAAAGTTTGCTGCAGGTGTTACCAGTTGATTTATATAATTAGCAGCAGGGCTAATAGAGGGCTGTGTTGTTATATTTAGTGAATTTGCACTTTCTCTTAAATGACAAGTATCCTAACTCCAGTGTCGTGCTCAGTAATTTCCTATTGCTCCCATTACTAATCACCCCTGCAGTTTTGTTTATTAAATAGTCTTAAAAAGTTATGGCTAGGATGTTTAATCCTCATTTTGTAAATGGAGGGAAAACTATATTAGCCATGTGTGACATTGTAAAGGGGACTAGTAGTCCCTCAATCTTATGATGACCCGATTTGTTGGGGACAGTCCTGCACTTTTTACTTCTGTCCTACTGTTCAAAAATCTATGACATGTTGTGCATTTGAACAGGTCAAATTAGAAAAAAGAAAAAAAAGGTCTAAAAAGGTATTCACAGTTGCCTTTCCGAAATGGGAAGAAAGCAAAACTGCAGCAGTGGTCACAGAGCTGGGCCTGATCAGTCACCTGATCTTCAAACAGAACAGGTAAAGGATGGGAATACCAAACATGAAAGAAACTACTTTTAAAGAAAACTCAGCCACAACAAACACTGTAGAAAGGTTTATAACTGGAGGAGGGGATTTTCAGAGAAATTTTCATGAAGTTTGCTAATGTTATTTTCCAGTTTAATACAAGAGAGTGTGATGTAAATATAACACTTAAAGAGTCATAAAAGAAATCCAGAGCTGAAAAAGTATGTCCTGCATCGTCCCCAATAAGCATCCCAGTTGTCCCACATTATTATTATTTTTTTTTTTAGATCTGGTCTCCTTATGTATCTTGCCTATTAAAAGAACAAACAAGAAAAAAAACACATGTGGGTGATAAAAGTAAAGACCTTAGATGATTTTTTTGCAGTTTAAACAATCTGTAGACAAGCATTTTTGTATGCCACCTGCTCTCAATATTTACACATCCATCTAATTGCCAGGTTCAGCAATCTTACGTTAGTGAACAATATCTGAGTCCTAATCTCTTCTTTTCCCATTGGCATCTAATTTTCATTGCACTTTTTCACACTTGATTTAGCACTTTTTCATTCCAAACCTTTGCTGGTAAAAGGACCTCCTTGCTTACTTGTGGCTTGCATGGTTAATATCCCTCTGTTCAGGGGGTGTTGGATCATTCAATTCAGAAATGTTTTTGTTTATTAACAGAGCAAAAACAAAGCTTCAAATATAGAAAAATATGTGAAAAGACATAATGATGGCAAAGTTCAAGTAGAAAGTTTTTTTGTGCAGCCAGCTGGAAAGAAAATAAAGTAGGAAGAAAATGCCCTGTTTTAATATAACACTAAGGATATCTTTATCCAACATTGTGGTTGAGGTACCCTGTGACTTTTCTCCAGAAGTTTTGAAAATATATTTTCTAGCAATAAATAGAACCAACCCCCCCCCCCCCCCCCCCCCCAGATAAAGCTAATTTATCTGTTTTCCAGTTTTTTATCTGTTTTGTATCGGAGCAACATGCCCACAGTGCATCAGTGGTGGGATGTGTTTGACCTCAATAAGGTCTACTTCATCTAAAGCTAGCAGATTCAGCCCTAAGATTAGGAGTATTTTTAGAGTGTCAACAGTCTTGCATATTTTCTGCAGACGGTGAGGACAGGATACGGTAATAAAAGCTCTTTGCACACTCCTCTCATTTTGTCAGGAGCTGAAAAATGCTGACATAGCCCTGCGCACCCAAAAGACGCCCCCTGGCCTTCAGCATGAAAACACGGCTCCCTCAGAGTGAGTTAGTAAAATCAAGCATGCATAACTACAAATATTATTCAAAAGCTGGAGCATTTGACTCTCCTGTGAACAGAAGTGCCTCCGTCCTACTCTGTGGCCATCATCACTTGTTGTTTTTCCTGTTTAGTTATTTTCGTAGCTTGGTGGACCAGTTTGAGGTGCAGCTGCAGCAGTTCCGCCAGCAGATCGAAGAACTGGAGAATCACCTGACCACCCAGAGCAGTGGCTCACACATCACCCCTCAAGGTTGGAATAAAATCTGATATGTTTGGGGATTTTAAAGAACTGGGCTGTTTACTTTACTCTGATTGTCTAAATATTTTAATTTAATGTTTGTTTTTTCCTACAGACCTGACTCTGGCCATGCAGAAGTTGTACCAAACATTTGTTGCTCAGGCAGCTCAGCTTCAGTCTGTCCATGAGAATGTGAAGGTCAGTTTTTTTTTTTTCCTGCATAATACATAAATCATCTTTTTTTTTTATTTAATGTAGTCGTTTTCAGTATTATTACCTATGTTAAGAAAGCTAGCTTATTAGATTTGTCATCTGCAAACAATTCTGTTCCTAATATATATTATTCTACCCAATAGATCCTGAAGCACCAGTACCTTTCTTACCGAAGAGCCTTCCTGGAAGACTCCACTGATATCTTTGAGTCTAAACGAGCCTCAAACAGAAAATGGCAGAGCGCGCCACATGTCACAACCGGACCTGCACCATTTTCCAGTGTACCCAATGCTGCAGCTGTTGCAATGGCAGCGACGTTGACGCAGCAACAGCAGCCAACTCCAGGTCTGACTGCCTTCAAGTTTTAGATAGTTCTCCTCATCTGCTCCTTGTTTGCGATGTTCAATAAGGCAAAAGAGACTGTTAGGTTTAACAGCATTGTAGACGAGATGATTGTGTGTTTTTATGTTTTTCCACATTTCAAAAGAAAAAAACGCTGCAGACAGAATCATTCATCAACAATTAGAGTAAGACATGTAGCTGGTGCCAAAATGTGCGAATTGGAAAAAAAAAAGAATGAAAAGTCTACTGCACAGTTCTGAAATGATGCCTTATTAATCTTATTTCAAACACTTTGCAGGTTATAATCACCTATTTCATGCACCTTACATAAGTAAAGTAAGGAAATATAATATGTCCAGTGCTCAATTGACACCAGACCCTGGCAGTTATTAGTTTCTAAAACGTTTTTGAGTTTCGGGTTTTTTATTGTTTTTCAAACAATCCAAAGGAGCCTGACATGTGAATGTTGCGATCTTGAGTTAAAATGATCAAACAATTGCCAAGTTTTATTTCTAGATAGCATAGTTACTGACTGATCCTTTTAGATATGCAGATCTCTAGTTCTGTGTTCACTAAGATAAGTTTTTGCTTTATTTATAGATCAAAAGGTAACTTCCATTTTTTTTTTTAGTCAAGCTTGTTTATTGTAGCTCTGGTTCATCAGAGGCCAAATTTTATAAGTTTATGCGTTTTAAGAAGAATTAATGAATTAGTTCTGTTTTGTTTGAAAAGAAACGCGTAAAGGTGTCCCGTTACTTGTTGAATACATGCTTTTAATCTAAATACTCCAACATGTGTAGGTTTTACATTTGCTTTTTTACGGTCCAATATAAGGTGACCAATTTTATTTTCAAGTCCCAGTAAATCAGCATTTCGTCTGTCTTCGGCAATGTCTCAGATAGTTTACAGGTAAAATAGTCATCCGTTATGTTTGCAGTCATATCTCTGGGGTGTGAAGTGCTACCTTATTAAACATGTATTTCAGGGCACTTAGCATATGATGAACAAGCTAACCTCCTATGTAGATCTGTGAAGTTAAAATGGGAGTTTTTTTCTAACAGCCAGTAGCAGAAAAACCATGTAGTTTTCATCTTCAAATTTCTGCTATTTTTTTTCTAATAGGTTGGGCTGTTTATGAATTGTCTCAATAGGCTTTGTGTTAAAATTCCAGCTTAAATCGCAACAGTTTAACCACATTCAGTCATAGAGGTTCAGAAAATTGATAAAAACATTAATTTTTGTTGTGATTTGACTTATCCTTGTGCCAAGGAAATATCAGGTTCTTATTCACAATTTAGTGAAAGAAGCACTACAGATCCCTCATAAATGTGTGATCCACGCTCTCATATTTTCTCTCTGTCCAATAAGGACATCTTGATGAAAGGTTACATTTCAGTTTTTATATCACTGGTATTTTTCAGCAATTTAGACTTTCTTTTTCTCTTGTGGAATAGTTTTCTTTTAGAAAGCGGCACAAATGTTATACAAACTAATCCTAATCACACGTCCTATTTATTGAACTATTTATTATTTGGGTTGTTTTTCATGTGCTTAAGTTGGTGTGAGCTTGAAATAACATTCAGGATGTTTAGTATCACAGCAGATGTAACTCCAGATGTGCTGCTGGCTGGCACTTACCTCTGAAATGTTGTTTTCCCTGAATACTTGACAGTGTCCCAGTGATGTAACTCGTGAGACAAACGGGGGAACATGCAAAAGACTCAGGACTAGATTACAAACCGTTTAATTGCCTGCACTGGTGGAAATCCAGATCAACAGTCACAAAGAAATGTTTTTTTTGTTTTGTGTTTTTTTTTTTTTTTTATCTCAGTTTAATCCATTTAGTAGAGTTGCTGGCTTTGAGGCCACACCACTGTTATTTAAGATGACTTCACCTAAGGGCTACTGTTGGCTTAACAGGGCTGGTCCATTTTAAACAGCTTTTACATCAGTTAAAGTAGTCAGGTGTGTTTTGTATATCGTAATAAATCCTATGAACACTTCTCACTGTTATTTAATGAACACTTTGTTGTCGCGAGCCGAGTCTAAGTCAATTGAGCGTTAATATTTGCTGCTCAAACTGGTCCACAGCTATCAGGAATATACAGTAGTGCCAAATGAAACAGGACGACCACGGAGGTGTCATTGTTTATCCATATTTAGATTGCCATGAAGTTTATTCACACCATGTAAGGTTTTATTTTAGACCTGATGTCCATGGTGGTGAGCATAATATCAAGAAAAACATCTATGTGCTTAAAATAAGCCAATGAACACAGTATTACTGTTGCTGCTAGTCATAGTTTAAAGAGTCACTTTGCATCAAGATAAAACACATTTATCAACACTAGTTTTACGCCATGACATGGATGCCTTCTGGTATCAAGTGACACTGCTAAAACATCTTTTTTTTTTTTTTTTGGTTTCTTCCATTTTACACGTCTTCCGCAGATATGGTGTCTGAGGTCGGGGCTTCAGAGTTTATAACATAGTATTTGCTGGCCTTTTTTCTTACGTCTGGTGTCTGACATTTAGATCTATTCGGATGCTGTATTGTTTTGAATGTTATCGGAAAGGCAGGTGTAATCCCCATTTACCTCCCTTTTTTTTTAAACCACAAAGGGGAGACAAATAAATGTGAAGTTCGTCATTTTCTAGATAACTTTGCTTAAATAATAAAAATAAAAAATTGTCTTGGTCTTTCCGTTTCTCTAGTTTGGGCACAACAGTAAAGAAAACTGAGCCTCAGAAAATTTTTTTATTATTTTTTCCTTTTTAAATACTTGATGTGTTTTTATACTTTGCTAATATTTCAGCCAGCAATCGCATGTAGGTTTAAGATGCAGTTTATTTTATTTAAGCTTTAACCACCAAAATTAGACCTGTCGGTACATCCAGGACTTTCCTGAAGGTTGTACATTCATTTCCGAGGTATTCTTTAGTACGTTTCTTTATGACTAGTTAACACTGAAGCTAATCACAAATGTTCATTTCAGATTTTGTTTCAGCTTAATCTCTAGTTGTTGTACTGGTGTGTTTAAGTCTATATATCCAATGCCTGTTAATAACAATACATTAATATATAATATGGTGTGCCTTTTAAAGTATATACAATAATTGTGTGGTGAATTGTTTTCTTTTTCTTAGGAGGGACGTATGCTAGTTCATTCACTCTAAATTCTTGAAGATTTGGACATTTGTCGAATGCAGTAGCAGTTAGCAATTAGCCAATTCTGTTCCTAAATGTTTGTGTTTATGTAAGTTGGATTGCAATTAAATTGACAATAAATCAGTTTTTAAACAAAGAAACGTTTGTCCTTGTTTCTTTTTGACAAAAGTTGTTTTAGCAGTGTGGGCTAACCAGACAGTGCATAAAGAAACAGCTGTGAAAAAAGGGAAAAAGGACAAGTTTCTGAGTGAAAGAACTAGCAGTTTTTATGGTAACTTTGCTATAATGTGTAAGGAACGGTTATTATTTTGATTAGATAGAACCAAAATGTAGCAGATTAGGACCCAAACTTAATTTGAATTTACTTAATGACTTTTTTTCCCTCTAAAGTGCCTCATAAATCCATTGATCTAAAGAATAGTCACAGAGGCTCATTGTTTATATTCATCAAGCAAATCCTGTATTTTTAATTACAAAATGCTTCAACAGCCATTTCCTGAACTAACTTATAAAGATGCACATCAATCAATAGTCCAAATTGATGTTGACCTTAATAGGCTTTGATCAACACTCTGCAGGACTTTTGGTCAGTTTTTTTTCCCCAGCAGAATTAAGAACTCTTGCCTATTTTATTTTTTTTTTCCTTCAGCAGTAAGCAGAACATCAACCATCAGTGTGTGCTTTGATTCGCTTTTTTTATAGATCATGATAAAATGGATTTAAATTATTTCTAATTCTCTGTTTCATTCAAAACTTCCTCTATTAGAGATATCTGTTTCACATTCTTTATTTCGTATGTTAAGGTCTGAATTAAACAAAAGCATGAATCAATTGCAACATTTTTAACTCCAAAAAGACAAAATTCCTGCTTCTCTCCAACATTATAAAAAGTAAAACATTGATTTTTAACTTGCAGCCTAAAGGCAGACTGAAAAGTAAAACTATTCCTGTCTTTTTGTACCTTAGGCACCCAGGCACCCTTGGGGGCAGGGTTTGGAAACCCCTTTGCCTCAGCTGTAGGCACTAGTTTGGGCTCTTCTACACTTGGAGGTACCTCCTCTGCCTGTTTTCAGAACAATATACTCCCCCTTATCTTCCTTTTAATCTTGCAATGTTTAATTTACCTAATGCTAGATAGTATTTGTCTGTTATTTAATTAAAATTTTGTGTAAGATGGAGAGAGAGGGCATGACTTATTAAGGCCCAGACCCCCCTCCTTTTTCTTCCCCTCATGCTTCCTTCTCAGTGGAAATGTGCGTTCACACCAAGACTCTTGTTTTTGCCAGGGCATATTTCAAATTAGAAACTGCTGGGAGGTTTTTCTGTCACTAATTCATCATTCTGAAAATGGAAATCATCACTAAAAGTTTACAAATTAAAGACGAATCGATCAGAGAGTGGTTTGAGCGCACAATGGTGGTGTCTTGCCTTGTAATTAGTGTGTTTTGTGAAAACTTGCCATTTATCTCCATTTTGTCTTTGGTTTGCTGTCCAATGCAGCGCAATGCTCTGTAATCTGTAGTGAAATGCTGAGATGTGCATTAAGCTTAATGATACAGCTGAGGTATTTCATTTTATTTTCACATACGCTTGCTTATGCCTGTCTGTGTGCACCCCTGGGACAACGCTCCTTGTGTAGTTTGCACATCTAGCTCAGTTGGTCTAACTTGTCTGTTTTGTTTTTGTTTTTTTCCACCACAGGTTTTGGTGGAGGGCCAGGATTTGGTGGCATCGGAACTGGAGGGTCATCTTTTGGGTTCTCCTCTACCAGTAAGCCTGCAGGGGGCAGTCTGAGTGCAGGTATATTGAAGAAGGCAGAAGGCATAACTAAAATAAAATAAAAGACAGTGTCTGATAAAGCACCTCTTGTTTAATTTTTTTTTTCATATTTTATATCTGAGCAACATAGAACGGAGATGGGTTTCACAGGTTTAGATTCCAAAGTTTAAAAAAATTAATAAGTTGGAAGAACAGTTATCAAAATTTGTCCTTTCATTATACCATTTAATCCCTGGAAATGGCGATTTTTTTAAGCTTTTGTCTGAGTTTTGTATGCATTCTCTTGCTTTCCTAGGTTTTGGTAGCACCAGCAGCTCTGGCTTCAACTTCAGCAACCCTGGCATCAACCAGTCCGCTGGCCTGACGTTTGGCGTTTCAAACCCGTCAGCCACCACCTTTGGCACGCCCCTTCTCCAGCTAAAGAAGCCTCCTGCTGGCAATAAAAGGGGAAAGAGATAGAAAGAGATTTAGACAAGAATAGTACTGAGCATCTGACCGACTCGTGGCTTGTAGCAAGGAAAGCCTGTGCTAGAGTGTTTAAGTATAAAAAAGACGGAGGCGGTTCCATCACGTAACATTTTATTTTGATTTCTTACTTTAACCTGAAATTGGACAATCCAATATTTGTGCTATTTTGTTTTTGTTTTTTTTTCTGCTGTTTCTGCTTTAAGCAGGGGCAGCCATTCACTTCAGTCCTCACAGATGGTAAGATAATGTCATTTAAGACTCAAATTAGCTCTTTAGAATTGTGTCTAACCATTTGTCTCGCTATGGTGTCTCGATGCTAAGGCCAGAGCAGTTGGTTTGACAACAAATTGCTCAGTTTCTGTCTAAATATTATGTTAGATAAACGTGTTTTGTGGTTAACTAAATTTTGTTGCATCAAAACCTCTTATAGAGCTGCAGTGAAAAATAACTTTGCTCAAGTTGCGTCCAAAGATGAATTTAAAAAGAGGGATGAAGGGAAAGGAGTTTATGATAATAGTTTGGGACAGTAAAGCCTGTTTCCTGTCAGAGTATTCAATCATAGTTTAGTCCCAGACTTTCCAAGGTGTCTTTAAGGGGATACCGTTTTATTTTTGTATCAGGTAAAAGAAGTTAACTTTCAGGAAAAAAAAAAAAGTTTAGGACAGAACATCTTTTGGGTTTTCCTGTCATGTCTATGTAACCTGTGATAAGATCCATTCTAATTGTGCGATTTCTTGTTGACAATTTCCTTACGCTTGTTCAACGAATTGTAACGCTGGGAAAAATCCAATGCCCTTTGTTCTCCATGGGTGTATGACATGGAAACATAATCTGACACTTCCTGAAGCATATTCTGTTTGCTCAGTTTATAAATGTGCTAGAACACATTTGCACTATCCAGTGTATGTGATCTGACAGTGATTGTGTGAATCCGTTTGTCACACAACAATCATGTGTCTGTTAAGTGTTTGGTGAAGACCTATGCCTCGCTTTCTTTTGTTCATGTTGGTTATTACCAAATAATTGTAGTTGTACTCCTGTTTTTTTTTGTTTTTTTTTTTTTGGTTTGTGGAGATCTGTATTTTTGAGATGCTGTTTAATAATAAAATCTTTTGCCTGTATGTTTTTTTTTTTATTGTCATTCCACTTTTCATAAGTACAGCGCATTGAATGTGACTTTCTGCATTTAACCCATCCCCTTGGGGAGCAGTGGGCTGCCTTTTGTGGCACCCAGGGAGCAGTTTGGAGGCCAAGGGTATTGCTCAGAGAGCCCCAGTGGTTTTCGAACTCACAACCACAAGTTTCCAAACTGTATGCTGTAATCACTAGGCCGCCAATCCTGAAATAATTGCAATCATTTCATTATATGCACGCTACCACAGAGGGGGAAAAAATGCATGCAAAGATATGTCAGATAGTTTACAGATTTTATCCTTAATAATAGGGCTATGTTAAATTGTTATTGCTTTACAAGATTAGGTTTTTGTGGATTTTCCACTCCTTGAATTGTAGAGGTTTAGTTTAATAGGTATAATTTTAGATCAAACTTGATCTAAAAAGGCGTTATTGAAAAGAAAAGGGAGAAGAGAAAATGAATAAAATCCCCTTTGTGTTTATAGATTTCCTAACTCAAATCCAAAATTATTTTTCAGTACGTTTTGTTAAACAGTAAACGCATCTTATGAAAAGGAAAGGGCGCCATGGCAGAAGAAGAAGAATGCTGTTGCTAAGCGACGATAACGCTACAATACTGAAGTCCGTTAGTAACAGCCGTTATTTTTCAGTTCGCCAAACCGCCCGTGATCCAGAAATATCCTCTGAAATAATAATTTAGCCCACAATCTTCATCCTTCGGCTCAGGTAAGTAAACCATTTCCGTCATTTTAAACAGCTGGAAAGACTTTTCCTTGTGTTGAAATGATGCAACCTGTAAAAGACTTAGAAAACGGAAATTGAACAAATAATTTATCAGAAATCTGAAATATATATATATATATTTATTTTATTTTATTTTTACTTTTTTTTTAACTGAACCTGGTGTTTTTTTTTTTTTTTTTGGGGGGGGGGGGGGGGGGGGGGGGGGGGTTTCAACCAGATGCAGGTATTTCACACAAAAAAACAAAACAAACAAAAGATGTATCCGAAAAAATTCGAGAGGAAAACATGAACACTGTAAATGTAACGGTTGGCATGGACATCAGACACTATTGTAATTCAACTTTTATATTATCTTTGTGTTTATAATACAAACAGATTACTATATTTGGACATTTCATTTTCAATTTGTTGCTTTTGGTTGTTCCCCTGCAGCAGTGATTCCCAACCAGGGGTGCTAGTGCTCCTGGTGGTCCGCCAGTGCATTGCAGGGGGTATTTGAAAACATTTTATATTTTACTTCCTAGATAAAGAAATACAATTAAATAGGGCTTAGATGGGTTTTGCACGGGAGAGGATTAGGGCCACTGAAAAAAACAAACATTTTTTTTTACTGATTTTTAAATATTATTTCAGTTTAAAATTCAGACTTTTTTCTCAGAATTCTGACTTTAATCTCAGAACTTTGGATCTTAATGTACAGGTGCTGGTCATAAAATTAGAATATCATGAAAAAGTAGATTGATTTCAGTAATTCCATTTAAAAAGTGAAACTTGTATATTATATTCATACATTACATACAAACTCATATATTTCAGATGTTTATTTTGTTTAATTTTGATGATTACAAATGACAACAAATGAAAATCTCAAATTCATCATATCAGAAAATTAGAATATTGTGAAAAGGTTCAAAATTGATGGCCCCTGGTGCCACACTCTAATCAGCTAATTAACTCAAACCACCTGCAAAAGCCTTTAAATGGTCTTTCAGTCTAGTTCTATAGGCTACACAATCATGGGGAAGACTGCTGACTTGACAGTTGTCCAAAAGACGACCATCGACACCTTGCACAAGGAGGGCAAGACACAAAAGGTCATCGCTAAAGAGGCTAGCTGTTCACAGAGCTCAGTGTCCAAGCACATTAATAGAGAGGCGAAGGGAAGGAAAAGATGTGGTCGAAAAAAGTGTACAAGCAAGAGAGATAACCGCACCCTGGAGAGGATTGTGAAACAAAACCCATTCAAAAATGTGGGGGAGATTCACAAAGAGTGGACTGCAGCTGGAGTGAGTGCTTCAAGAACCACCACAGACAGATGTATGAAAGACATGGGTTTCTGCTGTCGCATTCCTTGTGTCAAGCCACTCTTGAACCACAGACAGCGTCAGAAGCATCTTGCCTGGGCTAAAGAGAAACAGGACTGGACTGCTGGTGAGTGGTCCAAAGTCATGTTCTCTGATGAAAGTAAATTTTGCATTTCCTTTGGAAATCAAGGTCCCAGAGTCTGGAGGAAAAGAAGAGAGGCACTTCATCCACGTTGCTTGAAGTCCAGTGTAAAGTTTCCACAGTCAGTGATGGTTTGGGGTGCCATGTCATCTGCTGGTGTTGGTCCATTGTGTTTTCTGAGGTCCAGGGTCAACGCAGCCACATACCAGGAAGTTTTAGAGCACTTCATGCTTCCTGCAGCTGACCAACTTTTTGGAGATGCAGATTTCATTTTCCAACAGGACTTGGCACCTGCACACAGTGCCAAAGCTACCAGTACCTGGTTGAAGGACCATGGTATCCCTGTTCTTAATTGGCCAGCAAACTCTCCTGACCTTAACCCCATAGAAAATCTATGGGGTATTGTGAAGAAGAAGATGCAATACACCAGACCCAACAATTCAGAAGAGCTAAAAGCCACTATTAGAGCAACCTGGGCTATCATAACACCTGAGCAGTGCCACAGACTGATCGACTCCATGCCACGCCGCATTGCTGCAGTAATACAGGCCAAAGGAGGCCCAACTAAATACTGAGTGCTGTACATGCTCATACTTTTCATGTTCATACTTTTGAGATTTTCATTTGTTGTCATTTGTAATCATCAAAATTAAACAAAATAAACATCTGAAATATATGAGTTTGTATGTAATGTATGAATATAATATACAAGTTTCACTTTTTAAATGGAATTACTGAAATCAATCTACTTTTTCATGATATTCTAATTTTATGACCAGCACCTGTAGATGGGCACCATGAAGGAACAGATGTGGGAGCACTCAGCTTCACTGACAAATATGTGAATTGTTTGGCAGGGTCAGTAAAACATTGGTGGTAAATGACGGAATTAGACATCTTTTTATGTGCAAGAGGGATCCCTGGTGATGCTATTTCATTAATGGAAGAGCAGAAGGTGATTAAAACAAGAAGCTAGTTTAGTCTCTAAAACAGACATGGCTTGATGCTAACATGTTGTTTTGCTGTCAGAATTTTGAGATTAAAGTCAGAATTCTGACTTTTTTCTCATTATACTGAAATAAAATGTAAAAAATTTTTCAGTGGCCCTAATCCTCTTCCGTAGTTTTGCTCTGTAAGGACCCAAAATTTGAAATAAAGCAAAGACTTAATCAACCCAAAAACTTTTATTGATTTAAAAAAAAAATCAAAATCAAAATTTCATTTTTTTCCCCTATTTTGATGATTAAAAAAACAGAAATCTATAAAAAAAAATCACCAAGGACGATAAACAACATCCCAGTGCTGGGTAGTCAGGAGAAGATCAGGTGTTTCATTAACACAGTCAATGATGAAAAAAAAAAAAAAAAAAAAAAAAAAAAAAAAAGATATGTGAATCCAAACATTATTTAGTTATTTCCTGATTTGTCAAGTTTAGATGTGTATATAGGGGACTTTTTTCAGAAAAGCTCTAATTTTTTTTAAAAGCCGTAGATTTGTAACTTAATTTGATTTTGTATTTATTTTAGTACTTTCAGTCACTCTCTAGGTAACACATTCATGTTTTTTTATTCTAACTGAAAAGAATGAAATGTCTGAGTATTAATTGTTAAAGTTACGGAAATGTAGTTTTAAAGTTGGTCTTCTGATAACTGCTCTTTTAGCACATCCTTACAGTATGTCTCAAGATAAGATTGTATTACTCATAAGTTCCACTATAGAGTCAATCCTCAGGGAAATTGGCTGAAATTGATTTGACTTTGTTGTAGGAGTAAGGAAGACTATATTGTCTTGTATTACAGTCATGCCACTTCCGGATACTTTGTACTGTGCCCAGCAAATCAAAATCCCTCCCCAGCTGCCAGACATCCTCAAAAGCTTCACAAAGGCAGCCATCCGAACACAGCCGAACGATCTGCTGCGCTGGTCTGCAGCGTAAGTGTCAACATTTATCAACGTTGGTTCAGGTCAAGGTTAGACAAGTGTGACTTTGCTGCGGTTCACTCTAATATGTATCTGTCAAACAATTGCATAAAAACTGTCTCCAGGCAACATAATAGCCTCGTCTCACCTGTGCATGTACTTTTTCTGAGCATTGAAAGGCTGTAATTAGCTCCCAGAGGCTTTCGTGCAATTGCTGTGTTTAAACTTACTGACTTCCCTTTACAAAAGAACAAATATGTTGGATATGAAAATCAAGCATTCTGGATGTGTTTTCTTCAACCCCAAAGATTGGCACATCCTCTGTTGTGTTAACCTGTAGAGAAAAAGAGGAGAGTGCAATTAAAATTTCCTTTGTGGATAAAAGAACAAGGTAAAACAAGACTCTGCTGTCCTACAGGGACACTGAAAGTCATCCTGAGTATCGATTCTCATCAAAATATTGTTGATATAAGATGAAAAAACAAGAATACAATACCTCTCATTGCAGATATAGCAACATACATTATCTATTAATTCAGCTAATATTATGCATGTTATTAAGCGGACCGAGGAGCAAATGCACAGCCTTACAATCTTACAGTCTATATTAATAACACGTATTGTAATGACATGATTGTGTCCAACCCAAGATACTTTCATGCACTGGCCAAAGGAGAGTGTCTACCAGTAAAGGAGAGGCTGGAGAGGAATGTTGGCACCGGGTTGACTCCAGGTCTACTGAAAATCCTCCATAAGCAGGTAAGAACAATTTTAACAAATCTATTATTGAAATGATTCAAGTTTATTTATTACAGCCACACTGAGGTTGTATGAGGACGATAAGTACAATTTGAATGTAAGAACCTGTTTCCATTAAAAACCATCATCCACACAATGCACATTTGTTTTTTCCTTTTTGCATTTCTTCTTGAGTTAACTGTATGCCTATTTCTAATTAATTACATACGATTAACCTTATCTCACCAGTTCCTTCCCAATTTGTGTGTGAAATTGTCCAATACAATGCTGACATTTTATTAACTGTATTTATTTGGCTTTTAAGCAAATCTACTCTGATCTATAGATCACTTTAAGATGTTCTAGAAACAGCTGAAACAGTGCAAAATTATTCCTGTTTTTTTTGTTTTACATGACAAAAAGATTAGATCTTACTCGAACAGTTGTGTCTAAAGAAGCAGCTTCAGCACAGGCATAGTTTAACACCAAGTTCACATCCAACATATAAAAGTAAAAGCTATTGGGTAATTGGGTAAATCAGTAAGAATTATCTTTGTTGCATTAAAATATGCTTTTGGTTATGAAACGGTCAATTTGAATAGTTTCTTTTTCCAGTTTGTAGATTTGTTCATAGGGTTGTCAGGTTATATGGGGCCTTAAGCAGCCTCATACTCTGAAAACATTTCCTTATACATTTTCCATTGTGATTCAGAGTTTGATTTCAATAAGAAAAAGCTTGCCATATTTCACCTATATTTACTAGAATCTTGGGGAGGTGGATTTTTCATTTAAACTGTAGCTATTAACATTAATTAATAGCTACAGTTTATATCTGTTGAGAATTGATTTATTTTTAGAGCTGTTAAAGATAGAACTAGATCATTGTTTGGGATATTACAATAAGTATATAAGTAAATTCCTAGTGTTTATCCTTCATTTTTTTCATCCTTTTACTTTCCTTTTCTAATCATAGATGTCTTCAAGGCCAATGTGCAGCAGAGAGGAGCTGCAGATGAAGTGGAAGGACCTCGGTCTTCCCATGGAACAGCTGAAGACCCTGCTGTCATTGGGCTGCTTTTCTTCAGAATTCTCCTGGATTGAGTTTTTTGCCCTGGGTTGTACTGCCCTGGGAGGGGTGAGATCTAAATTCTAATACTGCTTCATACCACTTCCAGTTAAGGGTGAGCACAACAGGTGAAGCTTGCAGGATGCCAGGTTTGTTCATCTCTAAGTATCCAAACCTGTCTCTAACAATATCATTCTGTAGTGATTTCTTAAGCAACAAAAAATATCTGAAACGGATTTCTTATTTGAAAAAATAAAAAGATAGAATATGTCTTTGTCCTGACTTTAATTAAAGACATGTTTAAGGCTTTTGAGCACTTAAACCACATGAGGGCAGTCTTGAACTACATTCATTTCATTGTATGGCTCACCTTTCATTGAGCTCTTGTAAACAAAGTGATTTTGTTTTTGCATTTTTATAACATGCATCATTTGATTGCTTTTCAATCCTAAACACATATTAGTTTTGAGTGTCTTTTTTTGTTTTGTATTTTCTAGACTCTTGAAAGCTCTCTGAAGTACGCTTGTGAGATCCTGACAAATGATGAGGAGGGTGGCCCTGCCAGGATCCCGTTTGAAACCTTCGTCCAGATCTACACCTTCCTGGCTCGACTAGAGGGAGACTTATCACAACAACAAATTGACAACTTCCTCAAAAGTCTGGAACCACAAGTGTAGGTTTCTGCATTCTGGTTAAGAAAGCAAACAGTTATACCTCCTTGCTCTTTTTTGCATACAATTGTTTCCCTTTCTTCCCTTTCCTAAAGCAAGGTTTATATTGTGTGTTTAAACCTTAAATACCTAATTATTTTTGCATTGGTTTATACAAAATTCTCCATAATGGCAAATCTAGAATTAATATAATTTTTTTATATTTATAGTGTAATTATTTAATTTTAATTGCAGGTATAAACAAAAAACAAGTTAAATGAAATAAAAGAAAAACTAGAAGTTTAAGTTTTATTTCATTGTAAATTTTCTCCAGTCCATAAAGGGCTTAAAATCAAATATTTTGAATCAAGTTCAAAGCATATATTTAAAGCCAAAAGTAGCAATGATACAGCTTTTAAGCTCTAAATTAACAATAGAGTTACAGTCAGGGGAGTTCAGAAGTTTAATATTAATCCAATTTATCCATTTTAAATTCTGTCTTGATATTAGTTTCTGATCAGTTTAAGGACATTATTGTGGCAAGAAAAAAAGGGAATCTGCTGCTCCTAAATTAACATATTTATAGCAGGCTTTGCTGAGATTCTACGCCTCATAGATAAAATCCCCAAATAAAAGAAATTTTACAAACTGAAAAGACAAAGATCGAGTGATCTGGCCGCAGTTGTGTCTGTATATTTGAAAGTGAGGACATTAAACCTGAGAACTGTGTGCCATCTGTCAAACATGGTGATGGTAGCCTCATTCTGACAGTCTGTTTCATGCACTGGTGCATTGCACAAAGTGGATGGAGTACTGAGGAGGAAGGACTTCCTTCAGGTGCTTTAACGTTCACCAAAATCGATCACCTTGATGGGTGAAATATTGAGACCAGTTGAAATGAAGCCAATCTGACTTAGATTAATCCCAAAGTTTGATATCAGAGTAGTGTTTAAATATCCAGGCAGTTTCATCCCAAAAATCTTTCTAGGAGCATCAAATAGTATTCGACTGTCCTCATAATGTTAAGGGAGATAGTGATATCAGTGGGTGTATGTATATATTTTAGCCTACATGCATACTCCTTTCTTTTTTGTGGACGTTATATAAAAGATTCAAACTTGTACCTATTTTTTTAGCTTTGAAAATGTATTAAAGCTTGTTTTTTTGTTGTTATTAACTTTGGCTTAATAGTTCACTCATGATCCAGATGCGTTTAATTGACTCTATCATCTCAAATCTTCACATGTCAGGAAGAGAAAGGATTTGAGATATAAACTAAAATGTATTTTCACATTTGTTTATGTTTTCATATATTACATACAAAATACTTCTAAAGTGTCAATCTCCTTTGATTTTATTGACAATTGTGTATAGATTGATGACATTTCTGCTGAATTAGGAAAACATTTTGTAGAAAAAAAATCCATCACATTTCTTGAAAAATGCTGCCAGTATGTTTCTGCATAGTGTTGACAGTGCTGAAAACACACTGTTTCAGTTCAGCTTGGTCCGCCATTTGTGACAGTCAGTGTCAGTTGGCTAAGAAGCACAGGCAGTTTATGAGCTCAGCCAGTTCCTCTCTTCCTCAGATGTTGTGAGATTGTGATATTCACTGTTGCGAAAATCCTTCTACTGCTGAGTGGAAGCGTTGCATTAATGCTCTTGTGTTTCTGCCTGACAGCAACAAGCAGAGAGGCATGGTACAAGTTTCCAACTTCTGCAGCAACATGATGTCTGAGAAGGTCGGAGAAAAAGCTGTGGAAGACTGAAAGAAAGCAAGAAAGAAAGTTCTTGCTCGTTCTTGAAAGTTTGTTTGTTTATTAAAGAGCACATTCATACTCAAACCCGTCTTGTTAATTGTTAGAAATACTTTATCTATATATTCATGTAAGGAAGCCAGCTTTATATGTGCTTGAACAGAAGCATAAAACTGCCAAACCTCCTGTGTTTTATTCCTGATTAACTAATAATGTTCTTCTCATATATTCATTCTTCTTGAGCAAATGAAGATAAAGATAACTGAAGAAATTTCATACTCAGTTTAGACGATTTATGTTTTGTTCATCTCTCCAAGCAACTCAGCTAAATCACACAGATGTTTGGCAAGCAATGCTCTTTTGGTGAAAGCATGTTCCGTAGACACATTCTGAATCGGAAAACAAAGACTTTCTTTCTTTTTTTTTTTTTTTTTTTTACAAACATTACCTATTGCAGGACTGCAGCTGTGATCAATTGAAGGGGACTGAAGGGCAAATAAAATGGCTGATAACTTAATAACAGCAGTCTGCTCCACCCATGTGACACAGCACTAAAGGAATGTCATCAGGTCTTTCAGCAGCCATGTTCAAAATGACCTCAGTGAAATAACCTGACAGTGTCCTGATAATTGAAAATTCTCCACAATATTTTTTCCCAGACCTCTTATTTTGGAAAATGCTCATATCTACAAAAAAAATAAACATAGATAGAATAACTTGATAAAAAAAGAGTAAACTGCATTAAAAAAAGCCATGCTAGTTGCAATATAATAACGTCTTTTGCAGAAGTGTTATATACTCAACTTCCCACTTAAACCTTGCCCCATTTCTTCAAATTGTGACTAGAAACAAGTTTGTAATTGTGACATTTAAAAAAAGAAATAGTATTCAATCCCTTTGCTCTGCCCCTCTAAATAAAATTCTGTGCAACCAGTTGTCTCCAACTAGTTAGAAAATAGAGTTCACTTGGATTTAATTCCAATTGGGCTGCTCAGTGGCGCAGTGGGTAGCACTGCTGCCTTGCAGCAAGAAGGTTCTGGATTCGATTCCTGGCCCGGGGTCTTTCTGCATGGAGTTTGCATGTTCTCCCTGAGCATGTGTGGGTTCTCTCCGGGTACTCTGGCTTCCTCCCACAGTCCAAAAACATGACTGTTAGGTTGATTGGCTTCTCTAAATTGTCCTTTAGCCCCAAACATTATTCTCTTAAAACGGATCAGTCATACTGTCCTTGATTCATAAAGAACAGCCCCAAAGCATGATGCTTCCACCCCCATGCTTCAGTGTTTTTGGGGGATGCAACTGCACTTTCTTCTCACATGACAACTTTCTTTTGTGGCAAAATGTTCTATGTTGGTTTCTCCTGACCACATGATATCCTCCCAATCCTCATCTAGATCATTAATTTGCTCTCTGGCAAAATGGAGGCCTGGACGTGAACTGACTTCAGGCGGGGGTGCAGATAGGACTCCCTCTCAGCAGTGTGTTTTGATTGTAGCCTGTGGTCCTAGCTCTCTGCTGTAGATTCCTCAGGTCCCTCCATTTATTTCTTGGCTTTTTGGTCACTGTTCTCATGATCATTTTGACCCCACTGACCCCACCAGATCTTGCGTGGGGCACCAGATTAAGGGAGATTATCAATGGACTAGTATGTCTTCCATTTTCTTCCAATTGATCCAAAGTTAATTTATTCACACCAACCTCATGAACTATTGTAGATTCACTCTTCCCAGCCTGATGCAGGTCAACAATCTTCCAGGTGTCCTTCGACACCTCTTTGGTTTTGGCCATGGTTGAGTTTGGAGTCTGACAGTTAGAGCTGTGGATAAGTGTCCATGTAGAGAGTTCAACACATGTGCCGTAAATACAGGTAACAAGTTAAGAACAGAATAGTTTCTTAAAGACAAAGTTACAGGTCTGTGAGGGCAGACAGCTTGCTTGATTGTGGTTGAACAAATACTAATCCCATCATAATTTACAAATACATTGTTTAAAAATCCTAAAATGTAATTTCCAGGATTTTATTTTTCTCATTTTGTCTCTCATATTTAAAGTGTACCTATGATAAAAAATTGCAGACCTGTTTTACAATCAGTATTTCACTAAATACTCTTTTGGCCCAATATAAGATTTTCTTTTATAAATTTGCATATGCTAAATTTTTTATTGTATGAAAGAGAAAGACATGGTTGAATTTCTGTTATATGCTCATAAAAGAGATACAGTAGATGCATCATTCAAGCGATGATATGTAAAGAGCAAAACCATTTCTAAAAAACAAATACAATACAAAAATAAAAGAGACGTCCTGCAACCTACTCTTTGCTGTATGTGAAATTGAAAACTTACTCCACATCAATGCAGAAAAAATGCATAATTTTTGGCATTTGATCAAGCAATTCTCCTGTTAAAACCAAGAGTAATATAGCCCTCTGTGTGTGGTTCATGGTGTGGAGCGAAAAACAGGTTTAATTTCAATCCTGGGCCTGGCATCCTGTGCTACATCTCCTTCCCTTTTCTATTTCCCCCCTTCCCATCAATATAATAATATAATGGTTATTACAACATATATATAAATTATACCATAATGCAAAATCAAGGCCATTATTGTGTTAAAAAATATATAAAAAAGGGGGTAACAATGAAAAAAACAGATCTCAATTTTTACAGTGGTAACTTTAGAGACTGTTTTGACAAGAAAGTTAAGATATTTCTTTTTAGTAATTTAACAGGCCAAGTGAGCATCCTTCTGATCAAGAAACCAACCTTACCAGTTAGGACCTGTCCTTGTTGTTTTTCCTAGTATAGTATATAATTCTTTACATAAATGAATAATTCACCCAAAGCATTCCCTAATAATCTTGATGTTTAAAATGAAGAGGTATTCATGTATTTACTGACCTTTTTAGATTATTTCCATCCAATTCACAAAACATCTGTGTCCATATTTTCCTAATTTTTTAGACAACTCACTCGTATTATCAGGACACACACTAAGGAACAATAGACACATTTATAGCTTCAGTCCTGTAGAGCCCCATTGTTTGAAAGGTGTTGGAACGAAGATGGAATATGATGTCATTGCGTATATGTCATCCTCTTAGGAATTTCTCCTGCTGGGTGGACCTAGTTTCACAATTATTACTGTTTCTATTCTTTTTTCAAAAGATCTGCCTATAACATCAGATCTCTAAGGACTCAGGGAAAGTTGCAGAACAGTGCGAATCAAGCAGAAAGAAGAAAGCTTAAACAAAGACCCCCTGTTAGTGTTCCTGTGTGTAGCTGTTTAACAATTCTCATGGTAAATAATAAAAAAAACAGGTGAAAACATGGTTTATGAGTGTTCTGATCCTGCTTAGCATATTTATTTGGTAATTAGGATGGGATTGTATCTTCTCTTTGTGACCAACTAGAAAAAGTATGAAAAAGTATTATTTGCTTCATATGTTTGTCTTTATTTGATGTGAGTAAAATGTATTATAAAGGGATCGTGCCATGTTAGGGTCCATTATCAGAAGTTAATAAGGGTGTGAATTGTCAGATGCAATTTGGAGTGCAGTTATTTAGAACAATCAAGATAAGCGGGAACTTTTTATAGGGGTCCTTTAACACTTTTTTAATGGACACTCTGGAGACAGTTTTAATGGTTAAATATGTTAACACATCTTAAAAATGTCTTTTGCAGGGCGATCCAGGATGGGATGATAAAACCTGTGAACTTTATCAACATGAATGACATGGATTCAACTCCATCTAGTTCCACTTTTCTTTCCTCAACAACCTTGGAAGCTGAATAGTAGTAAACACCTAGATTTTGTTTGCACTGATCACAAAAGCTCAATACTAGGAGTTCTATTTATGTTTACCTGAGAGAGTCTGCTTATCATAAATTAAATACGGGAGCCTAAACACTTCTGAAAAAATAGGATTATGGAAGAGACTCAAATCTTGTATTTAAAACGTATTACTTTCTTTTTATAGCTTAGCATGCGACTACTTTCCAAATCTTAGTTTAGTTTATTCAAAAATGATGCTTTAAGTGTAGTTTTTCCATAGTCTGATCGCAGAAGTCGTCCAGTTGGCTAAGAGCTCAAGACTGCCTTCCTAGCAAGTAACATATATAGATATTGCAGCTCAATGAATTGCAGTGCTTATATATACTGTGACTTCAATGTTAGATGATGGTTCAAACACCAAAATAACATTTATTTAAAAGTTAGCTGGAGTCTTGGTAGCGAAAAAAGGCTCTAATTACAGTATAAATATGAGGTGGTGTTTATGTTGTGGACAGTGTCTTGCAAATAAATTCACCTTGAACTTGCTCATATTCCAGCTTATCTAACAGCTAGAAATGATTTTGCTCGATGTTTTTTTGCATTAAATGTCTATAGTGTTCCTTCTGTTTGTGTAAATAACAGTTTTCTAATTTTTGGATTTCTGTGGGTCTTTTAGGTGTGGCACAGTCCTCTTAGCTGCTTCTCTGAATAATGCTCTCTTTACCCACATGCGTTTGATAATTTTTCTCTTTCAATGTTGGATGATAGTTTGATAAGTGCAACATGAGATGTCTTAAGCTCAATTTAAAATGATTACTCTTTGCCCTCTACCTTTTTGACATTCTTTGGTCTATATTATTGTTTGTACACTAGTTTATTTGCATAAATCTATGAGGCCTTTTCAGAATAAATGTAAGTCTTGATTTCAAAAGTAAGGTCAGAAGGTTAAATATGAGAGATGATAGAATCTGCTGATGAGGAAACTGATCTTTTTTTACTTGATCATTGAAAACAGTTCAAACAAAACATAAACTTATTTTTCTATAAACCATTTAATGTTGATGATTACTTTGCCTGCTTCTCCAAATGAGATCCTTCCCAAAAACTAGAAATCTGTGTGGCTGTAAGAGCAACTCATTCAACCCACTTTAAACAAACTAAATACATCCTCAAGTGCAGTTGGAGGAGGAGGAAGAAAAGAAAACACCACAGATGTCCCAAACAGTGGCTTGTCAACCAAGAAAACACACATTTTTATCTTACATATTAAATGAGAAAATGTATGTGAATTTTTTATATTTTGAGATAGAAGCAGAGACTGATTTTTACAGCTTTCATCACTTTTTGCTTAATCTCTTGACCACATTGCAGCATTTTCTATTCATGAATAGTTCATTTTTTTGCCCCTGTCTCTCATCTACAATGATTTTATGTGCTGGACTGAATCTAAAAGTGTGCATGCATTAGTGTCTTTTCTATGGGATTTTATTCTTCCCATTTTTTTTCAAGAGGGAGTGGTGGCATAGAACCTGGAATCCTGAGGTATTGAGTTTGAGACCCACTCCAACAGACTGCCACTCTGGGTCTCTGAGCAAGACCTTTAACCCCCAATTGTACCCCACAATGGCAGCCCACTGCATGGATGGGTTAAATGCAGAAGTAAATTTCTCCAATGTGAGATCAATAAAAAATTCAATTATTACTTTTGGGCAGTGTTGTAGTACTCGACATCGGTCTTGGTCTCGAGACCATTTTTTGATGGTCTCGGTCTCGTCTCGGACTTAACCGCATTTATTCTCGGTCTTGTCTCGGTCTCGGGCGCTGAGGACTCGGCATTTTATTTCTTTTTTGTTTTTTTTCCAAGACCGGTCAAGACCACAACTGTGGAAATAACGCTAATCATCAGAATATTAACAGTTTCTTTAAAATCCTTCTTTTTATTGGATGCTTGGATTCAAATCCAAGCAATATTCTTTCTCATTGGTAAATACATGTTTTTTTTTGTTTTTTTGTTTTTTTACCGTTGTCACGCCCACCACCTTTCACCTGCGCGCGGGCTGCAGCACTTCGATTGAAAGTCACAAGTGGTTGTCTGAAAACGGGATAAGATGTCAGCCAAATCCTCGGTTATAAAATTCGGCTATTTAAATCACAAAGAATATATTTGTAAAGTAACATTGAGAAAAAAGCATACAGTGCAATGTAAGTTCTACAGTGCTTCACTATCAGAGACAGTAGGGACTGCGTCCAACTTATTACTTAAAATATGTTTATGTTTATTCCAGTTCTGTGTGTTAAATATCTAGGTGTTTTTATGTGATTGTGGGTCTTTTAGATCAATTTAAGTGATTTTGATCATGTTTCACATTTTATTGTCACATACTGGCGCTGGTCTTGGTCTTGACTCGGTCTCGACTTCCCTCGGTCTTGGTCTTGACTTGGTCTTGGACCCTAAAAGTCTTGGTCTTGTCTCGGTCTCGATACACTCTGGTCTTGGTCTTGTCTTGGTCTCGGGTTAGGTGGTCTTGACCACAACACTGCTTTTGGGTACTGCTCTGATTGTGTTTCTCTTAAAACTCTATTTTTCCACACTTCAAATGTTGTGTCTGCTTACAAATAATTTGTGAAATTTGATGCAAATAAAGCTGCTTTAATCAGGTTGTATTTTGCAATATTTTTTTCACTAACCAAAAGTAGACTTTATTGAATCCTGGTAATTAGATTTAGTCAGTAACAGCTTGTGAACTATTACATTTTCCTTTTTTTTAAATGCCAATAGATGCTTCCTTTAGCCTTGAATTTGAGTGTCACTCTTAACTTTAAAATAGTTGCCATTCTCTGTGTTGACTTCATCAATTAACAATATTGCCAAGGGTATAAAATCAAGCCTTTATAATCAGACAATCTGCCTTTGCTATTAAGGAAAAACCACATTTCCTGTTAAATCTTAGACAGAGAAACCTTTGTTTGAAACTCTAAACTAAACAAATAATTTTGGTCAAATGTTCTCTTCATCACACGCAAACACACCTAACAGCTGTGTGCTTGTGTCCAAGGAGGACTCATAGAAGGTCTTTGTGCTGTGGGCCTGCTACATGGCATAGAGGAGAGCACAGTGTTTGTGTGGGTGTTTTGGTAGTTTGTGGTTCAAGGGGAATTAATGAGTGGAGGCATACAGGAGCTTGTCTAAACAGTCTGCAAATGTCATGACATGTATGAAAGTATCAAATTGAGAAGATGTATTTCTGATTAACGAAACCTTAAAAAAGAGAGATAAATATTATAAATATTATATAGGATGTGTGCGTATACTTTTTTTTTCTTTGGGTCTGCTCTTTGGTGCGTACCCTATGATTCATAGAAACCGAAACATTGTAGCACCTAACCCACTGCCACATACACAACACCAACAATAAACACGGTTATGACTGTTTTGTCACAAATACACCATGACACACACACACACACACACACACACACACACACACACACACACACACACACACACACACACACACACACACACACACATACACATACACACACACACACACACACAGAACAATAATATATGGACTGGCCTCCCACACACACACACCAACACACACTCCAACGTAAGGATCCAACACCACTTACACTTACTTCTCAACTAAAGCTGTATATAATATGTAAATCTTTGATCTGTGTGATGGACCGAGTTAAAAAAACAGGAGGAGTCACAGGATATTAATTAGAAAAATAGGGTTTTTTATTTTAACCCAAAAATAGATGACAAAAGATAAACTGAGCTCATAAAAGAGGTCAAAGAAACAAAACTGAACTCAGGCAAAAATGTAAACAAACTGGCTGTACAAACAAACATAACTGACCTACAAAGAAATGACAGACCGGGGTATACATACTGGCTGATCAGACCAATTTAGACACAATGGGGGTAACTAAACAGAATACAATTACAAACAAAACAAATAACAGTACAGCTAAGTTTGACTAAACTAAAGACTCACAAAATGAAAATCAAAACCATTAAAGTCCAAATACCAATATTCACCTAAATGCAAAACTCATCTAAAGAAAGAAACTACACATTCCCCCGCCAGCAAGGACCAGTGGTGCAGTCCAATCAGCATCCAAATTTGCTGAGCCCTGGCCGCCCCCATCTTTTGTCAACTTCAGAGTGTGGCCATGGATTTGGCCATCACAATCTGCAATTATCTGTCATTATTTATCCTGCATTATAACCCCACTAATATATATAGGTAACACATATCCTAACTTTCCTGTATAATCTATATATAGGTTTTTGATATTTAACTACTTATAGCCCCTTACAATTACTCTCCGTTTATATATACCATTTATAGTCCATAGAGACATAGTCTCTGTACACATGTAAATAAATATCTATTTCCTGTATAGCACTTCTGGACTGATTCAAACTACATTTTGTTGCTTTGTACCTGTGACAGTGTAATGACAATAAAGTTGAATTCTATTTTATCCTTTTAGATTTCATGTTAAAAACTATGATAATACAAACATGCATAACTTTTATAAACAACAAAAGTCAGCAGCGACAAAAGTATAATTGAAATCCTGTTACAGTAGGTCAAAGGTCAGGACCATGCTTCCTAATGTAGGAAGAGGTCAATGTTGCTCTTTAGAAAAACTGCAGAAATATTGAGGCATTTAAAAAGTTCCTACTAGCAAATAGAGAACACTATCATCTCTTTACCAAAAAAATCTGTTAAAATCAATACTCTATTTTTGTTATCAGATACAATGCAAGGGATTTGCTACATTTTCTGCTGCACACTTCCTTTCCCTAAGTGAATTTAGAGGCTGTGTTATGTGGATAGAAGTAACTAGAAGGGAGTTAGGGGAAATGAGGCTGGCAGAAGGGAACCAGAGAGAGTTACTCAAAAAATACAAAACTGCTTAAATGTAAATGGAAAACAACTAGAATGACACATAATGGAAAAGAAACTAATGACCAAGAAAAAACAATGACATAAATCAAAGTGTAACAAAAAGAAACTTAAAAAAAACCCCAAAAAGTCCACAAAGGGCAGAATCATGAAAACTTCCTCTTTTCACTATACATTTTACTATGCAGTACTTCATAGTTATTTCAGCTTGTTAACAATCCTTAGCAAGCCATTTGCTTAGCCAGGTGTTGGGAAAAATACTAGTATTTATATAATTTCTGTTTTTTTAAGTGAGCTGTCATTTAAATGCATTCTTCCTAATTGTTTATTTTAATTTTTTATTCATAATTGTTGATTGTTTTTTTCATATATATATATATATATATATTTAACATTAAACTGTGATACTGAGAGGCTCTGTATTTGCAGTTATGATATTCAATTGCTTGCATATGACAATGAATTACAAGCCTGACTGATTGTATATGTCTTCTAAAACATATACGGCATGACTGAAATGTACTTGCTTGAAGCACAGTGCACTGAGAAATCACATTTGAATATCAAACAAACATCTATTACGCAAAAGTGTTCTTGACTGCAACACAATTTTCCCTGCAGCATTTTTGCAAACAATATCTCAGTACTAAACTGAAAAGTTTAAGAGCTAAAGAGCTCTTATCACTAATCAGTTTCTGGTCTTAATCAGTGTTCATCGTAATCATTCATTTTGGAGCCAGCAAAATGTGGCCCTGTGGTCATATCGAGTTCACAACAAATCTCTTTTGAGTAGTGTCTGTTTAGCTTAACATGCAGTTATCCTGTCCTAATGGGATATAACTAATGTTACACAGATACCAATTCCAGTATCGTGCGGGGCCTCGATGCTGCACTAAAATGGCGGTATCGGCGACTACCAACAAACAGGGCACCGATACCATTTTGAGAGCCAAAAGTTTATTCAACTATTGTCACCCACTCTACTGGATTCACTTTGTATTAGTCTTTTTCCTGCTTAACAAAGGTAGGCAGCAGCTTGATGACAATGGCTTGAAAGCCATGATGACAATTATTTTACATCCAGGTAGTATGCAGTTCTTCATATATACACACACACCAATTTCAAACAGATGGTATCGGTATTGGCCAATACTGCACAGCCAGGTATTGGTATCAGTATCGGGGCCAAAAAATGGCATTGACACAACACTGGATATAACACAAAATAATCAAACACAAAGATCAATTTACAGTTTTTTCTGATTGCTTAAGCACATTTTTTGTAACTATTGGCTATTTTTGCAAAACTCTACACACAAATAAGAAAACCTTTCACCCAATTATCAAAACATTGCAGTTCTCTTGCAAAAGCGAACACAGCTATATTAACTCTTCACACCTTTGTAAAAATGGTGTTTTCGTATCAAACAGTAAACACAAGCCATCATCTACTAAGCACACAATGTGCCAACTACACACTGATGGTATGAATACAAAACACATCTGGCTTTCCCTTTCTCTGTGTACAGATGTCAATTTGAGGTCATACTTTTGTCATAGTGTCATGTAAACATACAAGGATCCAAATTTCAAGTATTGCTGTTTATTCACACTCATCAAAACCAAGACAAATTCAGAACACAAAATAGTAATTTTACAAAAAACAAAAAAACAGTCAGCCTACATCATGTCGTCTTTCTGGGTCCGGCCACAAAATTCCGTCCACATCGCATGACATCCTCCAGTCCAAGGCACCGGGGAAAATATCTCCTTGAATGCCGTATGCAGGCCTGACATGATGCCTGGTCAATATCTCAACATGCCTCCTCCATTGCCTGTAAAAGGGCTACCTGTTGATGAGGATGACGGTCGTACACTTTCCAGCGCCAGGCAGAGAAGAACTCCTCAATGGGATTTAAGAATGGAGAGTATGGAGGCAGGTTGAGTGCCATGAAGCAACATATTCTCATTATCAGTGCGTATGAAATCATACGAAAAGTTATGCACACTATTTTGTACGTTTTGGATGTTTATCCTCAAAAAACCACATCAGTGCGCATGCGCTGGCAGACAGAAAAAAATCAGATCCACGGACGGACGGAAAACTGGGAAAAACAGTGCAATCAGCACTTATTCATGTCTCTAACTACGTTGCTTGCTGTTTTATATCTTAGGGTTAGGGTCAGGGTTAGGGCTAATTGTAATTTATATTCTATATTTGTGAATGGTGCGTCAGATGCGCATGTGACAAAAAAAACCGTCCAAAACGTACGAAATTACGGTGCATAACTTTTCGTACGATTTCATACGCACTCATAATGAGAATAGGTTGCATGAAGAATGGGTGGTCTGTAAACCAGTTGCAGACCAAAGCAGCCCTATGGAAATTAACATTGTCCCATATGATGACATATCGGGTATGCTCTGGTCTCTGAACAGTGAGCATGTCATGTAAGGTGTCCAGGAATGAGATAACGTGTGCAGTGTTGTATGGGCCTATGGTTGTATGATGGTGAACAACAACATTTTGGCTTATAGCTGCACACATGGTTATGTTATGTATTGGTTATGACCAATAATGTTCCTGTCACGTCTCCTGGTTTTACTGAGGTTAAAACCCGCTTCATCTACAAAAAGTAGCTCATGTCCCATTGCATCTGCTTCTAGTTCCATCACTCTCTGGACAAGACAAAACAAATGCATCACATCAGGCCCATGCACAGCACTACAGTATGCACTTCCAAATTCAGAACCAATGACACTATAGCTTACCTGCACATAGTCATATCGCAGTTGCTTTACATGTTCTGTGTTTCTCTCCGATGGAACTCTGTAAATTTGTTTCATTCTTATTCTGTGGCGTGCAAGTACTCGACTTCATGAAGAAATGCGTATTGCCTATTTTGAAAGATGGTGTCATTATCAATTATTATTATTTATAGTGCTTAGGCTGATTGCAAAGTGAACTAATTATCTAAAACAGTTTTCACATGTGAAAGTGTGCCAGACAGTTGGCAAAATAGTGTTAATGATAGCCATACATGTGTATAATTTTACTAGGAGTGTGTTGGAAATTTGGTAATAAAGTGTTGTGCAGTGAATTGTGCCTACAGTTTTGCAAAATGTGTGGTACAAAATTGCAAACTGAGTGCAATGCAGTGTTTGTGCTTTTAGTTTTGCAAACTCAGTGAGTGGTTTTGCTATACGTATTAATAGTTTTAGAAATTGTGCTACAAGAATCACGATTAGCGCTTAAGCATTCAGAAAAAACTGTAATATTGTAAATTAATAAGATATTCATAATCTGCATAACTTTTAAAACTAATATATAAGGAGTACAGATTAATTGATTCAGTTTTATGTTCTTGCTAAGATGCAATTTTATTGTTAATATTCTGTTACTCTTAGACACTATTTTATTTTACACCCATTACTGCTTGTTTAACCTTACCAAACATTTAGAGTGAACAGTGCTGAAGAGCAGTCAATGAGTAGAGCAGATTATGATGTTAAATTATGGTAGTAGGGTGAGGGACAAATCTATCCTAAAGCAGCGAGGGCAGTCGCAGTCGTTAACCTGTGGTCAGACACAAACATCCCATCTCGCCTTCTCACACAGACACACCGCCAACCATCCTCAGAAATACACAGACAAAATCACATACATGCATACACTTCTACTGGCAATTAAAAAGACCGCAGCCCATTTTATAAACTGCTTCAGGGCAAGCTGCACAAAAGGTAAATACTATGTGATACTTCATTATGTTTTTTTTTTTGTTTTTTAACTGCAAATGTTTTTATTTGTCTTTCAAAGTTACAGCACGTTTAGCTATCAAAATTTTGTGTCATTTTTTTCCTCTTGGGGTTTTTATTTTTTATATACTATTCTAGAGGGTTTATACTGAAGGTGATTATTTCTTTTTGTACAAGAATTTGTATTTTCTTCTTTCTATACGTTGCTTTCTGATGTCTTATAAAGGTTCATTATTATCTCATAATAAAAGCTTAACTAGTTGTAATTTCCACAGTTTTTCACATCAAAATTTTATTATTTAAAGGGTGGTTGCAGTTCAGTTACCCATCAATCATTCACTTAAAAACCAAACGTTATTATCACTTTCTCCTTGTTTATTTTAAGACCTCATCTGTGTTTGTCTCAGGGACCTAACATTGTCACTTAACATCGCACCAACATTGAAAGGCCATTTGGACTGAAGATCTGTATTGGTGTAAAGCTTTAGTGGGGAGCTGAGTTTTTAGCAATAGTTTTGCATACATGCTGTACTATCTGGTTAGCCCTCTGTAAGTAACAGAAATGTAGCCACAACAAAGATAAAACTCTGAAGACCACATTAACATCACTTCACAATCTGAAGTGTACATTACCATGCAAACTCCTTATCAGGTGTTAGTGGTTAGTCTAACTCACAAGTGAAAATTATTGGAGCTCCAGTAAAAACTGATGGTTAGACCTTAATGCAGGCAAATTTGATAAAGTACACAAAGTTAAACCACTACAGATGCAGTCCTTGGATTCAAACTTTATAGCCCGCACAAAGCTGATCTACTAATCAGCTGCAGCGTATTTGCTTTAATGGATATACAGATCATCAGAATATGCAAAGCAATGGGAGCAGGGTATGCAAGAAAAACGTACTTACCAATACAAAGCAATTTATAAAACTGGAAATGGTTTTCAGGTGCAGTTTTAACATGCACACAAAAACCTCTGTGGTTATTGCAGTATGAAAGATGCATAGGTGCAATGATAGACAACAGGAAAAGAGAATATTCCATGTATATATCTGTATATTTGGATTGTTAGTTATTAAAATACTAGACATATCTATCTAGCAATGCTATTTTGCCCTGTTCTTATCTGTGTATTTGATCACAATGATCAGATCAAGTAAAAAAGTCTGACTTTTGAAAACAGAAATATTAAGATCTGCAGTAATGATATGAATATTGAGTGGAACTTTTTCAAAAGCCTGTTTCATACTTAAAGCCCTATAAAGTACTTTTACTGGTAATTTACTTGGTCAGGGTTATGGGATCTGAGGATTCAAGTTATTAATAAAATTGAAAGTCTGCTAAGTGCTGCAAATATCAGTAAAGATGTAGTGAGATAGGAAGAGGAATAGCCCTTCAGCTGTTTATTCCACCCATAAGCCAACTTCAGCTTCGTGCTGTGTGCCTATGTGTATCACTCCTGTGATGGTTTTATGCTTTTGAGATGTGCTTTAAGAGAGGTTTTAATTTGGGATGGTTTTAACAGAATTAGTTAGATTTAACATTGTTTGGGAAACAGTAGTCTCTGAAAAGCCCTAACAAACATGTTAGCATCAAGCTGTAGCCATGTCTGTTTTAGAGACTAGCTCTCTTGTTTTAATGACCCTCTACTCTTCCGTTAATGAAATAGATTTACCAGGGACCCCACGGGCACATAAAAAGGTGCCTAATTTTGTCATTTTAATATTTTAATTTAGTCATAATAATACAGCTAGTGTAACTGGCCCTCCCAAACAACTCACATCTTTGTCAGTAAAGCTGAGTTCTCCCTCATCTCTTCCTTCATGGTGCCCATCTACCATTAAGATCCAAAATTCTGAGATTACAGTCCTAATTCTGAGAAAAAAGTCATAATTCTGAGATTAAAGTCAGAATTCTAAAAAAAAAAAAAAAAGTTCAGAATTCTGAGAAGAGTGTCAGACTTGTGAGGAAAAAAGTCAGAATTGTGAGATTTAGGTCAGAATTCTGAGATTTAAGTCAGAATTGCGAGAAAAAGTCATAATTCTGAGAATAAAAATAATAATCCTGAGATTAAAGTCAGAATTGTGAGATTAAGGTCAGAAATCTGATATTAAAGTCAGAATTGTGAGAAAAAGTGATAATCCTGAGATTAAAGTCAGAATTGTGAGATTTAAGTCAGAATTGTGAGAAAAAAGTCATAATTCTGAGAAAAAAAGTCATAATTCTGAGATTAACGTCAGAATTGTGAGAGAAAAAAAGTCAGAATTGTGAGGAAAAAAACGTCAGAATTGTGAGATCAAGGTCAGAATTCTGAGATTAAAGTCAGAATTGTGAGATTAAGGTCAGAAATCTGATATTAAAGTCAGAATTGTGAGAAAAAGTGATAATCCTGAGATTAAAGTCAGAATTGTGAGATTAAGGTCAGAATTGTGAGATTTAAATCAGAATTGTGAGAAAAAAAGTCATAATTCTAAGAAAAAAAGTCAAAATTCTGAGATGAACGTCAGAATTGTGAGAGAAAAAAAGTCAGAATTGTGAGGAAAAAAAAGTCAGAGTTGTGAGAGAAAAAAAAAAAAAAAAAAATCCAAATTCTGAGATTAAAGTCCAAATTGTGAGATTAAGATCCGAATTCTGAGGAAAAAAAGTCAGAATTGTGAGAGAAAATTTCAGAATTCTGACTTTTTTTCTCATATTATACCGAAATAAAATTTAAAAATCTGTTAACTTTTATTGTTGCTTCAGTGGCCCTAATCCTCTTCCGTATATAAAAAAACGGCACTGTTGTTCGGACTGGTGTTCTCTAAAAATATCCATGCTTGACAGCAGGGTTGCTTGGGTCCAGCCGAATTATCTTTTACTAGAAGACACATACTCCACATACACACACACAGAGGTCCTAGTTGCGTCTAATCGGATTAGGGGACTATGGGTTAACAAGCTCGCGGTTTTCTCCGCCCTGCACGGGACTTGTGCTCTGTACTTTTAGTTTCTGTTAAAACGGGGCTTTTAAAACAAAAAAACCCACCAAGATCTTATTCAGTCATCTGTTTGCTCCAGACACATAAGTTGTGATAAAGCGTGCTTTCACTTTCAGGACGAGAGACAGGAAATCGAACTTCGAGGGACATTAAGCACCATCTATGCAACCGCAACATCAACTCCTCTCATTAACGGTTTGGTTCAGTCAAGGCGCAACTTTTCTATTTATTAAATGTAAACTAGAGAAAAGCTAAGATTTATTAGTTTGTGTATTTTGGCTGTATTTGGGCGATATAAGCGACTTTTTGTTATGCCCTCTAACCGTGTGCCAGCCTGCACTCCACCCCTCGGACTGCGTCCTGGACTCGGTGGTTAGTTAGATGGTGCTGATCACGGAGGACAGGGATGGAGGAGGCGCGCAGTCGCTCCGCGTCAAACAGCTGCAGAACAAAGTCGCTCACGTCCAGCCGACTATAACCGAGGAGCCTCTGTCCAACTCCGAGGATGACTACCTGGGGTCCTGCGAGGAGGACGGGGAAGACGACGAGGGGAGCGAGGAAGACAGCGATGAGTTCGAGGAGGTTGACTTTGAGGACTTGGATGACTGTCGCAGCATCGCGTCGGACGACTCGTTCTATCCGCCGGACGACGTGTTCGCGGACTCGGAGCGAACCCCGTCTCCTGAGAGCCCGGAGCCGCTTTCCTTTTTCAAGGCGTGCTGCACTAACAACGCGGCGATTGTCCGGATAATGATACGACACGGTGTCAAGGAGGAGGAGGTGAAGGAAACCGATAGGAATAACAGGGTAAGAACATGGTTGACCCCTTCACCCCTAGAATATTTGCAACATTTGCTTTGTGTAAAAGAGTTTGCATCAAGAAAAACAAACAAACAAACAAAAACAACAGACTGAAGATGCTTTCATTACTTTTTGAAGTTCTGCATTGAGGGGGATTTCTCCAAAAGTCAACTTTGTTTTTATTTACCTTCAACTTGACCTAAAAGTGAGGCATGTGTGCAGAGCATCCAATTCAACTGATAAAACAATTAGGCCTAATTGCTTTCTACTCTGGGTTGCTGTTTGCAGGTTTGTAGCAAGTATCTGGTTAGACTTCAGGAACATTAAATGTGTGTGATGACTCAGGGGCGAAGCTAGATGGGGGGCCAGGGGTGGCCATGGCCACCCTTACCCAATCACTGGCCACCCCTACCATTTATTACCCTCTAATACAGATGGTGGCAACAGTAATACTCACTGCGGTTAACTAACATTAAAGATGATAAGTACAGAATTCATGCTTTTTTCAGAAATAGATTTTGTGTTTTATGGGGTAAAGAGAAAATCTGTCTCTGCAAGGAGTCTTCAGTGAAATCAAAGATAAACAACTATTTTAATAAAACATATTAAATAATCATTTTATGTAGATAGTAGTGCTTGTTAATGTCAATTTTATGCAGAATGATTACGGATAAAAGTAGGTAAGTAATGACGACGGAAAAGATGTTCACCCAAAACTCAAACCTAAAAGAATTTTATCCACTTTACCTTTTATCTAGAAAGCACAGATGATTGAATATATGCGTCTATTTGTTAGCAAAGGCTGTGGTAAAGTATAGTTTGTCTTTATTTAGAAAATATTGATGTTTTGCTCGTTAATTTTCCTGTTGGAACAGTGTAGATTGACCATGAAGTTTTGGTGCCTATCTACTTTCGGCCGCCCCTCAGTGTACACTGGTTATTGCCTGGCCACCCTTATAAAGATTTTCTGGCTACGCCTTTGCTATCATTATGTAAGGATCTGATAAATAATGTGTTGCTTGTGAATATTGAGACAACCAAGGATCTGAAAAGCTTTGGTTTAACGCCCTCTTACTAAGATACAGGTGGAATGGGTATTATCACTGCATTGATCCATAGATAGGTGAAAATGTCTTCAATTAAGTGTGTTTACCCTTAATTTGAGCAAGTTAATAAGATGATCTGCCCATGGAATTAGTATTTTAACTCTTAAAATAAGACGAGTAGATAATATGCATTCGAAATAAGAAAATGCTATTATTGTTTTCTTATTTTTAACGTAAATTGTCTTGTTCCATTTGAAAAGTGTCTCAGTTACCTGCTCAATTCAAGACAAAATGCACTTAACTTAAACGAAAATTACTTATTTAGATTTTCTATTTTTTGCAGAGAAGGGTACCCTTGTCTATTTTTTTGTTGTTGCTTTTTTTCATTTTCATTGGTAGTGCATAGTTTTGCAGCATTCTCATTCTTGTTGCTACTGGTTGGCTGGCTGATAATATGATAGCACTTTTTCACATTTCCCTTGCCTTGCCAACAGTGAATTATGTTAATTCGACCAGACAGTCATACTGTTTATGCAGTGCATATTGACGCGCTAGACGTATCTGATTTTATGAAACAAATTTTGAAGGAAGAATAATCTATGCAACAAGCATTTCAGAATCAAAAATATGAAATAATTAAAGATGATGAGAGAATGACTTCGCAAAACTGCTACTAGGAATATACCAAGCCACAATACAGAAGAACTCAACTCCATTACAAAAACATGTTGAATCATCACACCCTCCGCCTCCCCTTTCACTTCCATTGAATCATAGTCCCTCAACATTGCCTAAGGGGGCCCAGACTTGCCCAGTTTAGTTGGAAAGATGGACCTCCCCATTTTTCTGCTCTGTCCCGCACTCCTTAGCCTGGTATGCACTAGTAGCTTACTAATAAAGTTAGTTAGTGCATGTTCTGTACTCTTGAGGAGTTTTTGCATCTATATTTAAATAAATCACACATGTTATGTATGACTTCATTCTAATATTTTATGAATTTAGGTTTTAGATTATTTATACAGTTACATTGTGTAACAGTAACAATTATCATTTACAGCGCTGTATATCAGATTATTCCAAAGGAGTAGTTACTATACTAACACTTCTTCTCAAGATGTCAAGGAAAACCCTGTTTTAAATGTCTTTTTTGTGTTATATGTCTTTATTTAGTCATATAATCTCAACAATTTATCAAATATTTTATGCTTATAACTTTTGCACTGATTGAGAATCCATGCGTGGCTACTTATTTTAGGGAAAGGAGACAAAATCGCACTGTCAAAAAAAAAAAATAACTGCTGCATTTTTCTTATTTCATTAAATGTATGGTAGCTTTTGGGTGAGCACATTAGATATCCATGGCATGGTTGTATTAGAGTGCTCAAACCAATTTGACCGGTCATGCATTTTAATGCCATAAATGCCGCTGAAGTGATGGACCAGTTTTAGTTACAGCACACTTTATTAGGAATTTCAGATTTGATCAAAGTCAAGTCAAACATTACACATCTTTATATAAAAGAATAAACTGTCTCAAAATGGATGAAAATTGTCCTCTTTCTGTCTGTTTTTCTTGTTAATATATATACAGAGAGAGAGCGATAGGTGTAAAGGTACGCTAAAATCACATTTTACCTAGGTTCCGTTTAAATGAGGGTTCAGTTCTGTTATTTTCAGTACAAAAGGCCAATTTAAAAATCTTAAAAAAAATGCTTATTTTGGAAAAATGCACAGTACACAATATAACATTAATTAAAAATAAGTAAAAGCAACCAGTTTAGGTGGTATTTTAAATAAATGACACTCTACAGTAAATAAATTATACTAACAATAACAAAAAAAAATCTTAATAGGATAAAATAACGGTCTGGAACAGAACAATAAGCTGCAGCAAACCTTGTACTATTAACTAATGATGTTTTATGTTTTCCTCCAAAACCTGGTCATTAGCAACCGAGGCAGCATAGCAGAGTGTTGGGGGTGTTTTGATAATTTTGCAGTGTATCTGTATGTGGCCTTATTGTCTTTCCACTAAAGAGAAACAGAGGTGCACCCTGAAGCTCTGTACTTATGAACCTCTTCTTGGACCTGCTTCAAAAGGGACTTACTACTTCCCATCTGTTCTTGGAAAAGTTCACCCAAGAGCTCAGTCAATACATACCTCTTAGCTGGAGGTGATATGATGGATGATTTCCCTGAAGATAAAGAGGACTCAGCTGATGTCTTGGTGAAATCCTCAGACTGCACATACCACAAAAGGGTAAAGAAATTTAGTTTATAAGATTGTAATTTCAAAATAAAAGTCAATTAGATCATAATAATAACATGAACCTGTTAAAGGTATAGTGGAGGATGTTCTTTATCCAGGTTGATCATCAAAATAAGTGGTCCTCCTAATTTTCAATCACTTAGGTGATATGTTTACGTAAGGCCGTCCTACATGCTCGTCCCCATTTTCACTTACTGTTCGTGAGTGTGACACAGTAGAAAAACTTCAAATCTTCTTTTGGAAAGTAAGCTTGTATGAGCAATGCAAACAGAAACTTTTAAACAGAGCGTGCACAAGGAGAAATTGGCTTGTGCATGCTCTTGCACATGTTTAATAAGCGTTCCCTCTTGGGAGCGAGTACAGGGTTGTGCATGTGCATGTCTTTTTTTTTTAAGTTGAGAGGATGGGTCTTTTAAAAAATACACGAAAATTCCTGTTCATTAAACTGAAGAGGTCATTAAATGCCCTTTTTCACTTATCATGATTGACATTTAAATCTAGCTTCTAGAACTGTGCATTTATTCAAAAAAGTCATGCCACATTGAGTATCCTCCCCATGATTTTTGTGACCCCAAACTTGACCTCTCTCACTACTGGATGGTCCTCTTCTTTCGGCCCATAGAGTTGAGAACAGAGGCTTTCAGTTACAATATCATTCCCAGAAAAGCTCTTGTTTTTATACTCATCAAAGTTGTGATAGTTTTTTAGATGCTTAAGAACCTTAATCATTTCCTCTACCATAGCCACTTCCTCTACATTGAGGGTGTAATTGTCTTTGTTCTATAGAATTTGTCCTTTTTTTTAGTGCAGAATATATGGCTGTTTGGTGGTCAAATAATCTTTCAATTATTTTATAACTGGAGTTCCAATGGCTTGGAGCAAAGTGTCTTTTTAAATATTAAGCGTTTCTTGTTTTCATAGAAGGATGTGGACAGCTGTGATACTAGTGTTAAAAAATGCTGATACAGGTGGAAGAGTTTGTCCATAGGACAACAATCGGTCATATACTGCCCAAATCTGGCCTTTATAGAAGAAAGTCTTTACTCAAAGATATCCATAAAAAGTATTGATTAAAGTTTGCCACAAGCCACCTGGAGACACAGCACACATGTGGAAGAAGGTGTTCTGGTCAGATGAAACAAAAATCAAACTTGTTGGCAACAATACAAAATGTTTTGTTTGGCATAAAAACAAACACAGTTCATCACCCTGAACACACCATCCCCGCTAATAAACATGGTGGTGGCAGCATCATGGTTTGAGCCTGCTTTTCTCCAGCGGGGACTGGGATGATAGTTAAAGGTAATGGGAAGATGGAGGGAGCCAACTACTGTGTATTAACTCAAGGTGGCTGAATAATTTTGCAAACACAATTTTTGGGGGTTTTTAACCATTTAAGTTCAAAATATCCAATACATTTTGTTCCACTTCATGATTATGTACCAGTTTTCTTTTCTTTTTTCTATTGTCTTTTACATATTTATGTTCTTAGCCTGAAAAGTGGCAAAAGGTCAAAAGGTTCAAGAGGACAAATAGTTTCGCAAGACACTGTACAAGAGAGATAGATAGATAGATAGATAGATAGATAGATAGATAGATAGATAGATAGATAGATAGATAGATAGATAGATAGATAGATAGATAGATAGATAGATAGATAGATAGATAGATAGATAGATAGATACCATTCA